GGGTAATTTATTATAATTAATGTCCTTTAAAAAAAAAAATTAGATTTGTTTGTTTTTGGGGGTTTTTAAGGATACAAAATAATAATAGGGGTGTTTTTTGGTGCAAGAGCTCCTTTACAGCTCATTGCACCCTAAGAGCCCATTCACACCACATCATCTCCAGACCAGACCAGACTGTTTCTGGACTCAAAATGCATCCTAATATATCCCTATGCTACGTCTGGCCTCTGTTCACACCAGTGCAGTCCATTCCAGACCAGACCAGGAAAATACTGCATGTCTCATTTTGTCTGGTCTGGAATGCACTGGAACTGCAGACAGGTTCACACCATTTTCCGGATCACATCTGGTCCAGAAAATGATGTGAACCTGCCCAAAAGGCTAAGTTTACCTTTTGGCCAATGTTTCATGCTAGATTATGGTCCAGTTGTGGAGAAGGTTAATTGTTAGAATTAGCTTTATGTAAACCTTTCCTGAACAAAACCTGAGAATTTCCATGGAGGACCTCCTACTGGAAAAGTTAGTTGCCTGGCTGTCATGCTGACCCACTGCTTCAATACTGTCCTGGTCACTGACCTAGAAAAAGTATGCAGATAAAAAAAAGTCAGATTAAAATCTTATCAACTTATCTGCATCTCTCAGGACAGAGACTTCAAGTATTGACACTACATGCCCCTCCTGCCCCCACTTACCTAGATCTTCTCCTTGCAGGCTGCTCTGAATTTCTGAATTTGGCGCGGCTGTACGTGGCCCCCGTCCACACAGATGCATCATCTATTCACAGGTCCTTTGACAGGATTTGTGAATGGAGAAACTACAGGTGCCGTCATCCACTGTGGCAGAATGGAATTCACATGCAGTGTCGTCACCGTCAGTGCAGTCCATCCATTCTTCCTCACATTCATATTACTGAATGTTCATACCTCAGTAGAAGGAAGGAAAAATCCACAGGAGCCTTTAAAAAAAAAAAGCTGAAAACCACTTGAATTTTGCTTCCCCACTGACTTCAATATATTTTGCCAAAATTATTTGCAGAAATCTCCAGATTTGTGCTAACATTTTGAGGAAATGAAAACTCTCCCTGCTCCCAGGCTGCATTGCTTGCTGCCATGTTGAGAGCCAATTATGAAATCCTTTCCGCGCTGGTGTGCTGCACCTACACCAGTTCATTTCCTTAGACTTCGATAGAGCCATGTTAGAAGGCAGAAGACAATTAATGTTAGAAGGCAGAAGACACTTAAGACAAAGTCTCATAAAAGTCAATGGGGATCAACTGCACAGACACAGCCACCCCAAAGAGGATTTAACTAGCAGCCCCCCGTGAAGTGGTCTACACTGCACTGTGGGATGTAGTGGGCTGTGTCTCAGCACTGACATTTCTCAAAGTCAGAGTCTGCATACTACAGGCACGTGGTACACTGCGGACTTTGCCTCCAATTCAAACTTACTGGGTCAGGGTTATTGACGGGTTTGCTTTGAGGGCTTCAAGAAAGCTGACAGACTCTTTAAAACTGACTTGAAACGTAAATAAAAAATGCAAGTGTCTACAGGGCCTTGGTATTTAATGGTGCTGCCTTTAGTTACTTTTGCTAGGTTGACCTGCACAAACATAACTTTGATCCTTTTCAAGGCTGATATGTTACCGCTCAGACAGCTGAACAATGTATGTGATAGGAAAAAATAATTTGTAAAATCAATTCTATGCTCCTATGGAATGTATTGCGTATGAGCCAAAAGCCTCAAGGCCAGAGCGTGTTTAAACCTTATGCAATGGATTGCCAACATGGGAGTGCAGCAGCGCTAAGTTAAAGAGAGGAATAAGTACGCACTACAGTAGACCTGCACTGAAAAATGTGCTATCTTTTAGGAAAACTCTAAAGCAGTGGTTCTCAACCTGTGTAACATCGGGACCCACATTTGTCCTTGATCACCCAAGTCGCACTGCAATGAAACGCACGCATTAGGTACCGCGCGTTCCAGGGCCGGCGTATGAACTATGGGTTGGGAGGTGCGTTTAGGGTACCATTAAAATGAATGGCAACGCAACACACCTCCCACACCAGAATGCATGGTAGGTGCGATTGTATGGTGCAGTGCGATAATGGCACGGTAATATGCGATTAATGCACCATACTAGTGTGAACGGGACCTCAAAAACACTGACATACATATTTTTTTATTTTACTTTTAATTTTTTTATCCACCCAGTCTCCCTATCGTACGTGAACTGGATTGGATCCTCTGCCTGGGGTCCAGCGTGGGCTGCTGTGCTGTGACAGAGCTCCATCCATATGTGCATTGCTTATACATGCTCCCCTGCATGTCCTGTAGAGGAGCCTGGAGCCAGAATGTGATGTTAATCCGGTCCAGGCACCTCTATAGGACAGGTGAGGGAGCTGTAAGCAATCCATGTGTGGATGAAGCTCTCTCATCCCACCTCAAGCTGACACTCGGCGCCGGGCAGCATATTTTGAATGGCTGCTTGGCACAAGAACTGACAGTGCTGTGCTAGGGGGAGGCAGAGGAGCCTCTCACCTAGAAACGTAGGAGGCATGCGGCGACCCTCTGAACACAGGGTCACGACCCACCAGTTGAGAACCAAGGCTCTAAAAGGTGGTTCATTGAACCTTAAAAATGTGCCATTTACCTGGAAAGCCTCCTGAAAAATAGCAATAGAGTTCCTGTGCCTAAGGGGGAGGCAGAGGAGCCTCTCACCTAGAAACGTAGGAGGCATGCGGCGACCCTCTGAACACAGGGTCACGACCCACCAGTTGAGAACCAAGGCTCTAAAAGGTGGTTCATTGAACCTTAAAAATGTGCCATTTACCTGGAAAGCCTCCTGAAAAATAGCAATCGAGTTCCTGTGCCTGGGCACGCTATATCTTAATAGCTGTATACCTGCATTGTAAGATCATCTATAAGGTATCACTGCCTTTGACTGCTATTCTCACAAGATTTAAAAAGGTGAGATTTGGTGGAGTCACTACTGTGCCACTCACTGCTCTTCATGCTGGAGAGGAAGCTGCTGTACCTGAAGTCCTGCAGCGTAAAGTGCTTCTTGATCACAACACCACCAATCATCAGATCACCAATCATCAACGGGGCAGCTCTGACATTACAGCGCAAACCCTTGATCCTCCCGCAAGATGACCACCTCCACACAGAGAAACAGTGCAGAACAAGGCATGGTAATAGGGAAAAGATCAGCTGCAGGCAATACTGGTGACAAGTCCTTTTCCACCCAATTTCCTTTTTTGCACAATACGGGTACTCTTTAAGCACATCCTGTGGTTTATTTTGATATCTATATGGATGATTCTTTGTAACAATGTATTCATATTCCAAAGTATTTTCAAAGTGAGATATTAAAGTTAAAGTTTTAATAAGACGTGTCCTACATTCTCTACAATATTTATGATATTTTGAACTGGGTTTTTGGCAGAAAGAAACCATTAATATTATTTTGCTTTTTGATGTGCACAGCAATTCTAAAGTCGCGAGGTTTGACCATTTTAAAGATTCATGCGCTATAAAATGTATCCTGTGGCTTTGTACAAGCTCTGAAAAGTCACCAGCAACCAAAAGGGAAAAGTCAACCAACTTATCAAAGACATTGCACTGGCGAGCACTCCTCAGAACTGTTTTTGTCCATGAGGGACTCCAAGCTACACTACACTTATTATTTGTATAAATGCAATATATATCCAAAAGTATGTGCACAACCCCCCAACATTATTGAGTTTCCAACGAAGGATATTGTTGATGCTATGGAACACAAAGGCATAATAATTCTGCTCTTTCAAACTTGCAGACCTTTTTCTGTTCCACCATGACTGGGTCCCCATGCAACAAACCAGCTCTAGAAAGACATGGTTTGATAAGTTTGGTGTGAAGGATCTCAAGTTGCCTGCACAGAGCCCTGACCTCAACCCTTTCCCCTTTGGAATGCTGATTGTGAGCCTGATCTTCTCATTCAATATCAATACCTGACCTCACATACAGTACGTGCTTTTCGCTGAATGGGCACACATTTCCACAGACACATGCCAAAATCTTGTAGAAAGCTTTCTTAGAAGAGTAGAGCAGCAAAGGGGTGCCAACTGAATATTAATGGCCATGGTTTTGGATTGGGATGTCCAACAGGCTCATGTTGACGTGATGGTCAGGTGTTTACAACATTTTGGCCATAGAGTGTATCAGGTGCATTTTCATCAAGGGTTTTATATAAAGTCCTACAAACAACCTTTTTGACATAATTTGACAAAAAAATTGTCTGCCATAGAGTTGTATTCTATGGAAACTTTCCTGAGATTTGGCAGTGCTAGAGTTGGCCCCTCTATTGATGTAAACACGCATGTTTTGTGTGATCTTAATATTGTATCTCAGCTTCTGATGACCCTCTTATGTCCAATTTTACAACAACATAGTCAAAATTCTACTTACATTGCACATCCAGGACATACTGCGTCTGCTTTTTCTGCCCTTTAAGAGCTGCATGCGATGCCTCGCAGGTGATGATCTCACCATTGTCCCGTCTCTCCACAGGGAACTGGATCGTGTTTGTGATGCTGAAAGTCTTTATGTTCTCCTGTTTGCTGGTGACACCTATAAAAGTCAATATACAGATGTTAGCTTCTTCAGAAAACTACTTTCGTTTTTTTCGACCTTACTGAAAAATAGGAAGTAACAATTGATTAGTCAGCAACACCACCAGAACACTCATGTACATCACACATAATAAAGTGCAAAAAACAGAAGCTTGTTCCAATCAAACAATTTTTAGATTTGGAATAGAAAAGAAAAGAGTTAGAACCTCCATTAAGTTTTTTATTTGATTTATCTTTTAGATTGTAAGCCCTCAGGGGCAGGGCCCTCCTTACCATCTTGTCTTGATTTGTATTGTGATTGTAATGCCTTCCCTATATTGTAAAGTGCTGCGCAAACTGTTGGCGCTATATAAATCCTGTATAATAATAATAATAATGTATTCTTTTTTAAAGAGTCATATGACTTGATGGTTAAGATCCCATTTTAATTGTTAAGTAAAATTCACCCAGCATGTTTCAGGAGATTAAAGCGCCCACTTTCTTCAGAGCTCCTGAAGTTGGCAGAATGCTGGAAGTTGTGTCAGATCTGGCATGTGAGCTGTCTCAGCTTTCCCAAGTGTGTACAGACCTCTGCAGGGTGGTTGACCAATTTGCCAGACAGCTGAGACCTGAACATTGTGGCGGAGATTCCCCCTTACCTCCTGAGGGACACCAGTGAACAGGATTAGACTTGAGACTAAATCTCCCCAGTGGGGACACAGATTAACAAAAAGTCTAAAAGGGGTTTTAACCCTTCCAAACTCTATCCATAAGTAAAATCCAAATCTTTGAACCATAGCTGGGCTTCAATATCTCTAATGAACCTGTAACAACATAAACAAGTAGCCAGGCTAGCCATTCACTGCATGTGTTCAAGCTAGTCTGAGGCATCTTGTGTGCTTCTGCTGTCTTACTCTGCAATAAGGATGCCTCTGCTTCCAATAAAGAAGCATCCAGTATAATGGTAGGATGCACACTAAGGGGGTTATTTACTAAGGAGCCGAAGGATTAAACCTAACAGTCGGCTAATTCTACGGCTCACTTCAGCTGCGGGAAGCCTTCGGTTCAGCCGAACTGAAGGACTGCTGTATGGTCTTATTCACAATAGCCTGTACAGCGGCCAAAGGCAGCCGAACACGCAGTCAAACCATTCGCCACGCAAAATGTAAACAAATGAGAAAAAAAAAAAGAAATGTTGTGGGGCCCGCCCTCCAAACCATATCAAACCCTTTAGGTCTGGTAGGAATATTAGGAGGGACCACCAAGAGTTAAAAAAAAAAATGTGTGGGGTTTCCACCAAAAGTCATACTAGACCCCTAAAATTCCCAACCCAACAAGATCCCCTTGCCATAATTTCTGTCCACCTGGGAGTTTTGGGTGTTTCCACCTACCTTTGCATCATTCAGCTCCTCCTGTTACAGTCCCCATAACATATATTACATTAAAAAATCCATCAAGGATATTGGAAGCCCCTCATAACATGCCGACCTGGGTACTCAGCGCTGAGATCTCACCAATAGAGCCCCAGATGGATAGAAGAAACTCAAGGTGGTTTAACATAAGGCGGGTGTAGTTCCATTTGAACAAGGCAAATATCCATGGGCTAACTGGAGTAACCCATAGTAACCAATCACAAATAATTTTCCCCTATCCAACACAGCAATCTGTTTGCTATTGGTTATTCTACGTATCCCTCTGTTTAATAGGCTTACCGGTACGGAGTACACAGGTCACGTGAAATGCTCGGCAGTATGAACTAAACAGTTATATCATTCATTTTCCGCCACATACATAAACAAAAAGGCAATCTCGCATGGAGGTGTTTATATTGCACATTCTGGCGAGCAATTTCCAGTCAGAGAGGTTCTCTGACCTTGAGATTGGCCCACATCCAGGCTGCCTGAACACATCTTGGCACAAATCTTAATTTTCTTTTGACAAGAAATAATTAATCCAGTCAGACAGGTCAAATCTCACTCTACTACTGGGTTAAATTTAGGATTGCCACTGAAATAAACAGATGCATAATGCATAAACATGAGCGCCCAGTCGTCTCCACAGGAAGCGGCCATTTTACATGGGGAGATTAATTATTAACATTCTTTGCCGGTATACATGACCTTTTTGTTGCCTAGAAGCTGCAAGCGCTCATATTAAAATTTTTGTATTTTTTTGCATTGCGTTATTTATGTGCAGCTACATCTGACAGGGCGCTGAGTGAGACCGGCTTTTTCCAGTTTTGATTTCGGTGCCTCTAAGTGGTTTTAACTTAACGCAGTTGTGACTCTCTCCTGGACAGATGGCAATGGAACTTTGCATCGACCGAACATGCCGCGCCCCACAACAAAAGTGTTTTTGAAATCTAAACCTGCTCGCTGCTAGGTCAGGATCAAAAGGTTTTACATAAAACTTTATTCACTTTCTCATGTATTAAAAAATAAAAAATCTTAAATGTGACTTCAGGGGTTTCGGAAAACCTACAGCACTGTCAGACAGCAAATTAGGATATCCACAATGGTAGTCCCCTTTCCGTGATTCAAGACAGGTTTTTTTTTTTTTTTAAGGGAAGGCTAATGCCATTCAAAATGAGGATCACAAGTTAATGATGATAGATAGATAGATAGATAGATAAATGAGAGATAGATAGATAGATAGATAGATAGATAAAGCCTAAGGTTTGTGGGCACCTGACCATCACACCAAATGAGCTTGTTGAATGGCCATGGTTTTGGAATGAGACATCCATATTGAGTCCTCCCACCTTTGTGGCTATAACAGCCTCCACCCTTCTGGAAAGGTTTCCACATGATTTTGGAGTGCCTCTGTGGGAATCCGTACCCATTCAGCCATAAGAGCATTTGTGAGGTCAGGTACTGATGTTGGACAGTAAGTCCTTGGTCACAATCACCATTCCGATTCATGCCTAAGGTGTATAGCAGGGTTGAGGTTAGAGCTCTGTGAAGGCCACTCAAGTGCCTCCACACCAAACTTATCAAATTATGTCTTTATGGAGCTGGCTTTGCGCACAGGGTCACAGCCATGACAGAACAGAAAAGAGCCTTCACCAAACGGTTACCACAAGCCTGGAGGAGCAGAACCGTCAGAAAACTCTTTGTGTGTTGTAGTATTACCAGTACCCTTCACTGGAAACACTTGAGCTTCATAATTTGGAGTGGTGCCCACATACGTTTGGCCATATATTGTAGCCAGATAGACATAAATATATTATAAAATCGCGGCAATAGAATATACACATAATTACACTTTTTGGATTTATAATTTATTTACTGATAACACTGGTCACTGTTCTTTTCTGTCCCTATTATAACTACACAGCTCCTTTTAAGGGACCTGCCGGCTCGTGCTCCGCACGAACAGTTGCGACGGCCCATCCAGACCATCCTCACAAAGAGCTTTCTTCAAAAGGACATACTGACAGGTCCATATACCGTCACCAGCACCCTAGGACTCATCAGGGCAGTATACCTCTTCCTATGGATGTTCCCTCTGCACCACGTCAGATCAGTGAGTTGAGAAGATCTGGACATCGCTGACACTTAGGACATTTAAGCACGCCTCATACAGATTGACCATCTTCCCATCCAAGTGAGTAATTCTCTTATCCATGACATTGTTCTGCTGTCCCATTGTCCATAATGCTAACGTAGGATTTGCCTCCTGGTTGTAGCGCTCCTTATTTGTTCATTTGTCCTGTGCCTAATATGCTACCCAATTGTAGTACTTAAAAAAAAGAAAAATCAGAACCTAAAAAGACTTGGTTTGGATTAAATAGATCTTGTGTAGGTTTATGTACTAAGAGCAAACTTTGTGTTTTTTGTTTTTTAAGCAAGCATCACTTTAAAGCTGACTTTGCCCTGTTTATTCCTTAAGGATTAGCGTTGGTTCCGGAAGGATCCTGATGGCTCAAATCTGGCATAGAACATTCCATGTGTTTGGTAATGTAGAGATTGTGGTGTGTATCTCTGTCGGTATCTCTCTCCTTCATCTACTCTTTCATTATCTCCTTCCATATCACAGCGGCACAGGCTCCCTGTATATCTCCCTATTTATAGCCGCATTTAACCGTTCTCTACACATCACTGCCACCTTCTTATCTGCTGGAACTCTCTTTATATTTCTCTCTGCATCTCTCTGCTGTTTCAATCACCCTGCAGCCACAATGAGTTCTGGATACAATTCTTATCATAAGACGAGAGCTTGTTCTACTCTCCGTGCAACTTCAACAAATTTTTACTTCTCCCTCAGGGAGAAATCCTTCTTCGAAGTACAAAATGGCTGCCAAGCAAAAGTCCCAGGAACAGGAGAAATCACTTCACTTATTAGTTTGTCTTCCTCACAAACAATCCTCACGCGGCCTCTTTGAAGCAATATGGTTCCAAGCCATTGGAACTCCAGTGCAATCCTCTTGTTTATTGCAGCATGAACAAAGACAAAACAGTCAAAGTTTCCAGGACACAGAAGGTCCCATTCTCATACTGCGAACGATGAATAACTAAAAATTAAAGATACAAATTGGTGAAGCAAGGCATCATACCTTAGAAAGACTATCGAACGTTGTAAACAGAACATGTAATTAAAAATCAAACATTGTAAGCGTGTCTACCCAATTTTGTATCATTGCAGTGGCTTGTTTGTATATATGGCCAAAACTATGTGGACAACCCTTGAAATTATTGAGTTCAGGTGTTTCTTGTACCAGCTACAGACTACAAAGACATTTGAGACAATTGTGCACTTCCAACCTTGTGGCTTGAGGAAGGACTTTTTTTTGTTCTAGTAGGACTGTGTCCCTGTACCCAAAGCCAGCTCCATAAAGACATGGTTTGATGAGTTTGGTGTGGAGGAACTCGAATGGCCTTGACAAAACCCTGACCTCAACCCTACTGAACATCTTTGAGATGAATAGAAATGCGGATTGGGAGTCAGGTCTGCTTGTCCAACATCAGTGCCTGACCTCACCAATGTTGTTTTGAATGAATGGGTACAAAATCCCACAGA